TCAGTAAATGTTTAATAGTGACGCAAAGTAGAACAACATACTTTAATAATATTTTGTACAAGCAATTCTTCAGAGTTTTGCTAATAACGGAATAAGAATTAGGAGGCTCTCAAAATATTTGAATTAAAAATTTTTCTAATCAATAATCCAAGAAAGATGAGATTAGTATTAAAGAGTCCTATTTTTAACAGGAGATTTGAATTTCTCTTAAAAAGCACTAATTTTGAGGAGGGATTTTAAAAAAATAAAATGAAGTGTCACTTTATAACTTTTCAACGATCTGCGTCAAACTTTGCATATGTACACTTTAAGACAGTGTTTCCCAATATGGGGCCCCTCAAATTGGGGCCCACGCCCCACAGGAGAGCAATTTGATTGTTATTGAGGCAAATTTGAAAATGGACCTGTCCAAAATTTTTTTTGAATGGTATCCCTAGATTTTTACCGCTTAGGACCTCCACTGGTCTTAATCCACCGCTGGAGTTTAGCATACTTCTTTCTTATCCATGATATTCCCTGCTTTCGGAAATATTCTTTCCGGAAGTATTGGCTGTAGAAGAGAGTAGTAGCTGTCGTTACAGATAATGAAACTTGCAATTAGATCATGGGTTATGTGTTTTCATGAAAACTCGATAGATTATGAAATTATAGTTATACATGTTGAATTAAATTTAGGTTGTATGAAACCTTACATAAAAACAATGACAAATTATTGAAATTTTAACAGATACTAGATATTACATTAATAAAACACTGTACAAAATTTTAGAAATTTTGCGAGCCTAAAAATAAATTCTTATGTCGAACGACAGAATTGTGATTTCATTTATCAAAAAAATATGAATGCAATGATGATAGAATTTTGTAATTTTGTACAATTCTTAACACATGATTTAATAATATTTTAAAGTCAAAAGTTGGAAACAGCTTCCTATTGTACATTTTAAACTTTTGGTAGAAATTTTACTGTAAATTAATATTGTGGGATTATATTTAGAAATGGGTATACAATTGAAAT